CTCCCTCCTCATGATGTGCAGCTTTGGCTCCTGCAGAGGAGCTGTAAGTTGGTCCCAGTACATTGGGGTAGAAATGCAGAAATAGAACCTTGACAGAGGTTACCTTTTACCCTGTCTGATGTAAAAAAACTTAAGGCCTTGGAAAAAGGTATACAGCACTTTAACTTTCCTCTCTTCTTCAAAGAAACAACGCCCTGTGAATTTCATGTTTCACATTTAGAGATAAATTAATTTGGAGTAATGTCTAAGATGTTAATTGCTCTTTCAGTTGGATCCTTTGGACTGCTTTCTGTTTTCTAATCAAAGTTTCAAGTGGGGTTGTTTTCTTTCCAGTTGTAGTATTTAGTGCCACTTTCCAGTTCAGAATATCATGGAGAAATGGGAAGTGTAAATAATACTTAACTCCTACATAGTGAATACTGTCACCATTCCAGCTTTCTGGCAGTTTTGAGCCTGCCTGTGTTTCAGGGAATCATTCAGGGAGAGCTAGTGACCTGTTCAGAGGATTAGAGTTTGTGGGTGATCAGACTGTGGTCTCAACCCAGGTGAGATCTCGCTTTGGCTGAGCAGTGGAGTGTGCTTACCAAAGCTGCTGAGAAGCTTGTAATGACAGCTTTGATGCTGAAGAAAATACAGCTGTTTACTCAGAGAGGGAGGCATTCCTTTCTGTTCCTGTAGATCTGTTTAGTTGGTACTACTCAGTGTCCAGCTGTGGCAATGCTGAGCTGGCATTTCTGTGTCAAATGGTTCTGACTGAGCTTCTTTTCAACAGCGGCGTCCGGCACCTTGTCTGTTGTTATGGGAATGAGGTTTTACAACTCCAAAAAGGCAATGCCCGGGATAATTGCCGGTGCCAGGTAACCAGCTGTCCTTCGTTCTTGTCTGTGTTATTGAATAAACAATTATTTAACTTCTTTATGGATTATATTGTTTTAAAAATGTTACATGGCAAATTCTGTGAAAAATGAAATCTTGTGGTGGCATTCAGCTGAATTAAATGATGTCAACGTTTTCTTCCTTCTTGTTCTTTATGGGATTTTTGCCTCCACCTCCCTCTTTTTATAACAACTGTTCTGTTCCACAGTTTACTGATGGTTGGACGGCTTGGATTGCAGATGATGGAAAAAACCTATTAAGCCATAAATCTGCATCAAGTGACTTGAAGACACATGACTGAGAAGCCCAAGAATGCAACTGCTGAAATGTGCTGCACATAAGTGGAAAAGACACTGCTACCTGTGCGTTGTATTTTTCATATCCTAATGCACGTGGGTTGTGTTTTTAAAGGACCGACATAGAGAGCCCTTGTATTTGTCTTAACATTTTCTGCACTGAAAGCAAGAAAATAGAATATAGCATTAGTTTAGCTTCTGGCCCTGCAACTTAGTGTCAGCAAAGACCTCCTGGCCCTTGCATTCAGATAGTTGCAGGATTGAAGCTTAAATGCACATCTAACTTGTCCTTCTAAAATCCTGTATACCTCTAAAACCAGGGGAGAGGAGTTGCCAATTTGTCACTAATTAGTTAATTAAACTGAGTAATTAATGCAATAAACGTGCTTATGATGTTCCATCTCCCTTTCCATGCCAGTTTGTCCATTCACAGTGTTTGTCAGTCAGGGAGTTTGTTCTCCCAGCACTGCGTGTTGGAACCTGGTCCCACAAAACACAATCACAGAGCCAGCTGTCAAGGCTCTGCTGTAATGCAATAAATGCATACCCATGCCTTGCAATCACCTGTAAGCTCAGCTATATGTCATTCATTTCACTTTTACAGATTACTACTCATCAATCAAAAATATGCTTTATTAGGTAATGCTGAATTGTAGGCACAGCTTTATTAAAATGTTATTTTAAATAAAGTAATAAATTATTATTGCAAACTTTCATGTTCTGCACAGCTTATTTTGTCTCTAATTGTTCATCTGGATTGATGTTTGGTGCCTTTCCTGCAGGGTGTCAGGATCTATTTGTGAACATGAATTGTGTAAATTATCTGTTCTATTCCTAGAACAGTAACTTGTAAATATAAAAATCTGAACTGGGAGGGAGGTGGAGAGCACAAAAGCATACAGACCACATATTCAGACAAATATTATATTAAAGTTTTTTAGTTTGGGGTCTTTTATTTGCATGGGGTTTTTTGGTTGGTTGTTTTTTTGTTTTGGTTTGTTTTTTTTTTTTCCTGAGGGCATAATCTATTTTAGATTTAGAACATACTGTATGAAAGTGTATTTAAAGACCAAAGGGCTTATTTGATCAGTCTTTGTCCTCAGCTGATTCTCTTAATGCCTGAAATCATTCTAAATATAAACCTTTCATAGAGAAATATCCTGGAAGATACACATGGAAGGTAAGGTATCCTTTTTCTGGCCTCATTTAACTTATGTCCCTTTTTATTCAGATCCTGAGCTTTGATTTCTTCAACCTTTTTTCTTTGGTGCCTGGTGCTGAGAGAGATGGAAGCAAGAGGGCTGGTCCATTAGATTACTGAGATTCTGGAGTTGCTCAGAACTCCCTGAGTATCAGGGTAGTGTACCTTGGCAGGAGGGTCACAGCCTGTGGTTTTCCTTCCTGCTCCCTTGTCACAGCAGAACAGGCAGGGCAGTGACCTTGTGCTGCGTGAGCAGGAGGTGGCCCAGTGGCCACAGCCAGCAGGGCAGTGGTTTGCCAGGCAAGTCGCAGGGATGAGGCAGGGCTGAGGTCAAGCCAGGATGCCAGGTCAGTCAGATGGGGTTCCGGATCTGCAGGGATGTGGCCAGGAACAGGTGCAGCTCCAGCAAGAGTCTCAGCACCTGGTCCCAGGCCAGACAGCTTGGGTCAGAGCTGGCTTGAGCACAGACAGATCTGGATGGAGAACTGTGCTCAGAGCATCTTCTTAAGAGCCCTTATTCATCACCCTGCAGAGTTCAGCTTCAGGCATTCACCTGTATTTACATTTCTCTCCTACCTTCCTGCATAGAAATAAAGGCTGTGCAGACCAGCAGATGGTTTGTTAATATGCCACCCTTTTAAGTGCCTAATTCCAGTCCAGGACCCACCATTGGTGGGCAGGTGTCTGCACACCTTTGTTCTAATTTGAAGAAGTTAGTAAGCCTGACATTAGCATTTAAGACACTTCTCTTTAAACTGTGTTATGGGGGGGTGGGGGGGTTGCCTCTTGATATTACTGTTGAAGCAGTTTTCTTCTATAGGAGTAAGATGCAAACATAAATGCATCTCCTGCAATAAACTGAGAACAGCCATGACCCAGCAGTTTTGTAATTGTATAATGCTGGCCTCAAATCAGGAAGCTTGTGAATTTGAATTGCAGTTGTCTTTAACAGTCTAAAGACAACAGAAAGCAGAAAACTGGACTGGTAAGCTTTTAAACGTTTAGATCAAAGTATGAACCTGTGGTGCTGTTGCCTGAGCTTTGGAAAGCAACAGGTTGAACTGAGAACTGCTGGTAGAAGTCACTTAGAACTTGTGGTAGAATGCTCATGCTCAGGATAAACAGCAGTAATACAGGCAAAGGGACAAGAGAAGAATCTTAGCCTTACATACTTTTTATCCCTTTTCAATTTTATTAGCATACAATAACTTTTTTAAGCATTTCTGCACTAGCAGTCTATTGTGTACCAATGAATCAGAATTAAATTACTTTACAAAGCCTGTTAGCCTTTTCTTGCTGTTTGCAACAAGAATTATACAACATTTGTCATGCTTTGCTTGTGGACAAGTAAAGACTGATGTTAAAGCCCTTTCAAGGTTCATTAGCATGTGACAAGGACAGCATGTTTCTTCTAACCATATTTAGTGCCATAAACAGTTTATAAATAATAAATAAAAGGTACCTGTTTATTTTTCTGCTCTAAGGTAACTCACAGACATGAGCTATTGGCACATTGTTAGTTAATTTCTTGACCAGGCTGTGATTTTAACTGTCATTGATATCTTGTACTAGAGACAAGTGATTAATTTATTTTGGTTTTAAATATAAAATCATAGCTCTTATGCCTGTTACAAACTGAGGGTGTCCTTCACTACTATAGCAAATTACAGATATGTTCTACAGTTAAATTAAGATGCACTTAAGTAGCAGAGAGACTTCTCTTAGTACTAAGGGAATGACAAATATTTAATCCTAGGACAGTGGCAATTGAATTAAACTCTCTAGTGCATTGCTAACCAGACAGCCCGATCCTTGCATAGTTCTTACAGTATTAAAAAAAAGTGTTTTCTTCAGGTGCAATTTTCCTAACAAATTATTCGACTTTCTGGTACAACTGTTTTAGATTAAATTGTTTTCCAGGAAGTTAACCCATATATTATGACACATTGGGTCAACAACAGGAGTTTAAATTAAAATATCCATTTATAAAAGCCATACAAATAATTTTTATTTTTTTTTTACAATGCTTGAAGTCATCATTAACAACTTTACATCTTCAAAGATCATACTCAGTTTGTACTTTAAAATGGCAAGTTTAATGTTACTATAAAGTCTAAAGCATTTATTCTAAATGCTGTTGTTAACAGAAGTAGCTCAGCTCAACATCCTAATAAACACTTATTGCAAACATACATTGCAAAGTCCTTTGAGCAATATTATTATAAAAATTAGCATAAAAGCTGGGGAAAGTACTGAATGAATATATAAACAGTGACATAGTGAATTATTCAAGTTTTGTCTGTGTTTTCAGGTACCTAAGTTGGCCTTTAATATCTAAAACAGAAAGCAGTATCTTTGAATAACAGACCAATATTCTTCCTCATGTAGCCTATTCAAACTCTGTAGTTTAGTCTGATCACCCAATAAAGACACGTAGGAACAAGAATGTGAGTAAATTTAGTGATAATTTAGGCATTTTTGGCTAACTCACCCTTAAAATGAATGACAGACTGCAGTGATTTAAGCTCTTTAAAAGGTCACTGTGACACTCCCTTGACAGGAAAGAGATAAATCTCTGCAGATCTTTGACCAAAAATGGCAATAAGTTAATTAAAACAGCAGAATCTGATTGTTAGGCTTCACTTCACAGCCTGGTAAGTAGTATTCAGTACTTGTTTAGCTATTTTCCAATATTGCTGTATCATTCTACAGCCCTCTATTGGCCAGATTTCTAGGCCTTCCTTGTGTAGTATCGATCAGTGGACTGCCTGGATCCGACCACAAGGGTTTCAGTTCTCATTGTTACATGAATATTTGCACCTTACAGACCCTGAGTAGCTCTTAGTTACAAGTGAGTGCTGCAGTCCTTGCAGGAGACTGATGTTCTTCACAAAGCCAGATCTGTGCTTTCACTCTCATCTCCCTGCTAAGGAAGCAGCCTGACACCTGGAAGCCTGGTGCTGCTCTGCTTCAGCCCTTCTTCGTGCTGCTTGTGTGCTTCAAGCACATCCCAGCAGCAGATGTTGCACTGGATGAACAACCCTAACCCTAGTTGTTCCAAAGAGTGCAAGAACAGGAGATCTATCTACAGAAAACATCAGGTGAAATCTACTTCTTAGTTTTGGCAATATGTGTTGTACAATACTTCATTGCATCCTACTTTACAGCCAGTATTTTACGTGGTATTATATGTGCTATACAGGAAATAGAATACAGTCTTTTTTTTCTTCTCTGCTATTGCGTAGTCTTAGGAAAAGCTGGAGCAAATAGGCTTTTCAGGTTTCCAAGTGCAGGAGAACTGAAGACAGAGCATGTAATATCCACACAGGGTGGTATTTTCTATCTGTTCCCTCCATATTTGGCCACCCAGTCTGTTCTCCCATGTACTCGCTGAATTGCTGGGGGGCGAGTTAAGATATTCATGTTTTTTGCTGCTGCATTGAAAGTAGGACCTGGTAATGGAGGACGAGCAGCTTTGTTTTTCCAGGAATAATCTGAAAGGAACAAGAACTCAGAATTAATTATCACTAACAAGGTACTTTACTCCTCTACAGAGAAAAGAATGGGAGCTTACAGATGACATGGTACTCAAGGATGCTAATGTAGCAGGGTGTGCTTTGGTCTCCCATAGGTCATAAAACACCCTGAGTTGGAAGGGACCCACAAGGACTGTAGAGTCCAACTCCTGCTCCACACAGGACAGCCCCAAGAATCACACCATGTACCTGAGACCATGCTGTCTGTGATTGTTTTCAGATAACATTATTTTTTTCCAATAGTTTGTGTATTATTCTCACCTACTGAATAATTGTTTTGCAGCAATCCCTCAAGAAAACACTGAGAATTAGATTCAGTGGAAAAACTGGTGCAAATGCCTACAACTCTGTTTCTCCTATCACAAAACTGCTACAGTATGAAAGTGTTCTTTCTTCTATCTCAAATATTGAAAAAAACGTGTCATTATAACATTGATAAAACTAAGATTCAGACAGCTTAGACTGAAAGACAGCTTCTGAAGACCCCCTATTGTTCCTTTTGAGATTTTTATGCCTTTTATTCCTCTCTTGCTTAGCTCAGAACTCCTGCTGTAATTGGTGGCAAGTCTTTGCTCATTTCCCATTTTTCCATTGATTTCATAGGATTTATTCCAAGTTTGAAGGCTTTTTTTTCTCTCTTAATATCGGCACCCACCTGATTTCAGACACTAGCAAGTAGTGCACTATTGTATTCCTGGCCTTCCTATTCAGATTTCCCCTTCTGACATTTCAGGTAGTTGCTACTTTCCTTAAACAAAATGAAAAATTTAAATTGAATGGGTTTTTTGGTGCCTAGGTATCATTCTGTTTCTTGCAGAAAACCACCTGGTTTTGGTAGCATTTTTCAGCAGTGGATTGAACTTGTGCAGATCAAGACATTTAAAAGGGGGGAACATCAAGGAGCTGAAACTGGGGATTAGGTCTCCACCTCTTTGAAAACTGTTTTTTTTTTATTATAGGCTGGCATTCCCTATCTTTCATCAGCAAGTATGATTCCAGCCAACACTATCTTGGCAATAAAGGTCACTTTTCCTGGTATTTTCCTCAGAAAAATGGATCTTGTGTACTACATTAAATTATTTAAATTATGACATGAAAAAAAAAATAACAGAAAAAATTAAAAGAGCAAAATCAATTGAGAGCATAACTTACTACATTTTGGATAATATAAAGCAAAGGGTCACCAAAAATGTTAATGTTCAAATAGTGACATCTAGGAGATAAAACCTGCCATTTGCTTTGTCTTATTTCTCTTCCCATATAACTCTGAAGACTTTAAGCTAAATATAAAGCAGTTAAAGCAATAGGATTCTTGTTCTTCTCCAGGACATGGCAGAGTATCCTAGTTGACCTCCATCTGTCACCCTGACTTCTACTACACATATTCCATTTCTAATTACAGATTAACAGTAAATTTTGTTTCTTTGGAACACCACATGTGATTCCTTTGGTTTTTCCCCCACTATTTACAGCGGTCTAGAGAAAATTGCAGATTTTGTCCTCCTGTGAACTTCCTGATCCATGCATTGTGACAAATCAACTCTGGCAGTTGTGTTTCAGCAGTGAATCAATAAGATAATGAAGAGCAGCTTCAGCCTTCCTTGGTGGGCTTCTGATCATGTCACACACATAAGTGCAGACATCTAAGCATAATATATATATGTATATGTGTATGTGTGTGTGTTCCATCTCCTTCCTTCCCTCCTGCTCCAGTTCTCTAAAGCCACTTGCAAGTTCTTAAGGAGAACAGGTAACTCAAAGGAGCACATCAGCAAAAAGACAACATTATTAAGCAGGATCATATCATTTTGGTCTGCCCTGGACCCTTTGGTTAAACAATTCACCATTGGTTTAGGGCCTTGCTATTTCCTCTGAAGTAACTAGAGAAATGGGTTGCTGGGTGTAGACAACATCTCTAAATCTTCACTCACAAAGCAGTTTCTCCTGCATCCTGAACATTTCTGTTCATCTTTTCTGAATCAGAAACATGACAATGAAGAAGGTGCTCAGAATGTCTCCAACACTGCAGAGGATCCAAGGTAACACATTTAGAACAGATTTCACGTTGTTTTTAACAAATGAATTGAGTCCCAACTACATGACCATTTACTACAGAGGTGTGGAGTTACATGTTTTTACAATTCTGCTTAGCCCATCACCACTATTGAACAGTAGTTTAACAAATGGTCCAAATCTTCTTTGCACCTTTTGCAATTATTTTCCCTTTTAACTAACAAATATTAGTAGCAGTAGTTTCTCTATCAGGACAGCCTCTAGGCACCTACATGCAGTTCCTTTGTATTAAGAAGAATTTATGCCTTACAATTTTATTTACAAAACTTGAGGAAAACCTTACCAAGGGCTAATACATCTCTTAGGAAAGCATGGAAAATGAACATTTCTCTTTGTCCTGGATATGAGTATTAAAATAATATTTCTTACCTGATACAGGTGCACCAAGAGGTGCTAGCTGTATCCGTTGTCCAGCTGATCCAACTTCTTTTTTACGGAAGGAAGAGGTGTATAGTCCCGATGGGTTGTAAGCACCACTACTTACAAAGCCAGGATTTCCTGTTGACATTACAGGATTTTAGGATTTTCAGCTGCATTCAGAAAACTCTGCCTACTTTTTATAATCACTTCAAATTTTATGTGCAGTATCACAAGAGTACCAAGTATGAGTGTTCTTTAAAAACTCCCTAGTGCTCATCTCTTGAAAAACAAACATTCTTTCATTGAATTCATATTTTGCTTTGTATATTAGCTGGACCCTTCTCAGCACTTAGCAGACAGAATTTCAGCAGGAATAAAGACAAAGAGCAGGATGAACATTTCATTACTTCCACTAAACTTAAGACCACATAGAAAGGTTTACACTGAGTTGCAGAGAAATGCAGGATCTTTGCCTTTGTTTACATCTTCTTGCTTTAGCAGAAGCTGGTTTAACTAGTGCTCAGTACTACTCTTGTGCTCAACATGTTTGGCCTAAATCTATGGAAAAGAATGGACTCCAATGTCTCCTGTGGAAAGTGGTGCACCACTTGAAGTAGACTTTCACAGTTCCCACAGTTGAAGGCCTGCCATAAAAGACCCAATTACCCTCTCTCTTTAACCCTGGTTTATAATTCTGTTTGTGCCTAGTTTTGGTCCAGATCTTTAAAGTAGTGCTACCCTGGGAAGGCTGACATAACCATCTTCATTTGGAAGCTGGGAAACAGTGAGCATGTAAAAAATTAGTACTGAAATTAGTGTCCAGTGGAAGAGCAGTCTGTTCCAATACTTACTCCCTGATCCAAGAAAATTCCTTACTGTCTTCATGTCTGTCATCACTTGGGACAGCGTTAAGACTGTGCTGGCACAATGTCCTGAGAGAAATGCTTTTCTCTGGCAGTAAGGTCCTGTGTTCAGTAGTATTAAATTTGTGAAGTAGAAGGCTATACACAGTAGTTCATTTTGACCACTATCAAGTGTGATTCAGTGGTTGTTACAAAAAAATACAGTATCTGCTTTGACAGTTTTTCCGTCTCCTAAATCTTTGGCCTTTGGGCAGTCAGGTAATGTTCCTCTTCACACAAAAATCCCAGACCTCTGTGACAATTTAGGAGTAGTGGAACTATAAGGTACAACCTAGGCAGCCTGGAATCCTGAGTTTCCTCCCTTTTACTCTAAGGTAACTCCACCAAAACCTGAGCAAGCACAGCACTCTAAGATCAGTGCAAAGGGTAGAAAACCCAAATTCAGGGAAAGGTGCAAGTCCTGAGTACTGTCACAAACAAGCCATCCCTGAGGGGACATGCACATGCTGCTTTAGGATCACTTCCTCACCATTACCCAGTGACCTGCTGTGGGTTATGATTAGGGTAATAAAATATTTTCTGCCTTTTAGAGCACAGTAAGTTCCAACAATCCAGAAGAAGCCATAATGAAGAAAGCAAGGTTTGACAAAACAGATTGCAAATGAAAATGGCAGCATACAATCATCAGGAGCCTGCATTATAAGCGTAATTTTTTTACAAGAAACTGTGAAACATAAATAGGAAATATACAGAGAACCAGGCTATAATTGCTATAAATTACCTTTTGGATCTTCTAATTTTTCATTCAACCTTTCTTTGCATGATAGCTTTTCAATAGGTATAATTAAGTTCTCATCTGTAGACAAGGAAAATTAAAGGAAGAAAAAGATGGAACGACAGAACTTTAGAAGAAGGTATGAAGAACCAATTTAGGTGATGTAAGAGAAATGAGGAGGGAAAAAAGCAAGCAAGAGTGAATTAGAAACTATAATGTCTTATCCTTGTTTTCTTAAGCAGATGTTACTCCAAGAGGTTACTTTACAAGGTCCATTCTAACTATGGACTAACAATATGATTTACTAACAATGCAATTACGTTCCATTTACAATTTTAAGGACTTGGTCATATCTTCAAAGTTGACTGATCATAAACTTACAATCTTTCATAAATAAAACATTTTTAACTATTTGCTCTTATCTTATTTTGTCTTGGAGCAATATTGTGGCTGATGAAAAAAAAGCCCACTTAAATAAACGATACATAGTTATTTAAACACAGCAGTGTCGACTTTCAGATTGTCAATATGAAAAAAGATATAGTTTACACGTATTGTATTTCTGCGATCCATCTATCCTTCACGTGTGTCTTAAATGTTGCTGTCTCCCCTGTTGTTGTGATATGAAACATCACACGCAATTTAAGATACTGATGGAAATAATAACAAATGTTTTCAATGAAAAAATAATCAGATTTAGTGTGTTTTTTCTTTAAATTCTTGGTAGTAAGGCAAGTGCAGGATTTCTACCATTAGCATTCATCCTAATTTTATCTTCAGTGCAGTTCAGTAGGTAGATGTCCAGCTTATTGATGAAAACTTTTGGAAGCAGCTATCTGCTTTTCTGTGCCCAATTCCCTTGCAAGATTTTTTATAAATAACTTACTTAGGAGGCACACAGATACTCTATTTCAGAATACAAAAGAGATATACAAGATGATTGCTTTAAAAAACCTCTTATATTCCACAAAAAAACTCCAGTAGGTACTGTTGTCTTTTCACATTCTAAAATCTTGCACGTTAGTTCAGATGAACTTCAGGTTGCCTGACTTTCAGAGGGGAAAATCAGATTTGTTGACATTGCAGAATGGCTAGTAAAGTTCTAGGAAAAAGGAATGCAGCATCTGCATGTAAACAAACCTTTTGAAGTTCTTGCTGTACAAGCATGTAAAGCTGGGTGGTTTATTTGCACTAAAGTATTTGGAGAGTGACTTGTGCTAGCTGGACAATGGCCGCAGAATTGTTAACAATTGTTACCTCCCATAACAGGGACAGTGTGCCTGAGGTATAGGACCTGGTGGTGAGAAGGCAGATTTCAGTCTGGAGTCTGATGCTTTCCTTAGGGAAATCTTAGATAAAGTGTTTAACTAGTGTTGGACTTCACGCTACAGAATGCTGCTAACAGTGTTCTTCACAAAACATAGTCTCACCCGAAGTTCCTTCCTGGAAATAAGGGGACTTTTCTTGCAGCAAAGGACTTAGGTCAAGGCCAGTAAACTGATAAAAGATATGTCTAAAATATTAGGCAGCACTTCCACCACCCACCCTTTTGTTTTCATGGGTCAGACTGCTATCTGATAGTGTTCCATTGCATAGGGAGCAGGCAGTAATGAGGCCAAACTACTTGCTTAAATACAGTAAAATAATGGTCTCAGTGGATTATATACAAAATTTATCTTGACAGAATTTTATAAATAGGAGCTGGTTCTGAAATTTTCTGAAAGTAAAATCCACTCTATCACGTATGAAAAAGTTGTTTTTTTAAGAGTCTTTCACTAAAACGAGAGAAAAAAAAAGAGCCTAGAATCTAAGCTAAACTACATAAGTTAAATCAGATAGTCTTAACTAAATTAATTAAAGTATGAAGAGATATAATGTGACCATTTTCAATTACGCTTTTACCTGCAGTATTTCTGCTGTAAGTCAATCCTCCCCCAACATTTGTCAGTGATTTAGCAAACAACTGGTTGTTCCAGGTTCCATGTGATCCTTCTTTATTGGCTGCTGATAAAGAGACGCTCTTAGGGTTTACACCTTAGGGAACAAATGAGGGAAAATGCTATAAATACCAAATTTCAAACTTAATTCAACCAATAAATGACATTTCTAGAACAGAAAACTAACGCTGAATCATTTGTCTTATAATGATAAACATCATTAATGTAAATTAATGATGTCCACTGATTAGATTTTTAAGCCGAACCATGAAAACCAGTGACACTACTTTAAGAATAATTCTCTTCATGCTTTCAAGAAAACTTTGAAAAGACTTTTTAGTATAGGTGCTTGGTTTCTATAAAACCATAATCTCATAATTGGTATTTTTGTCTGTCAAAAAAGGAACACACAAATCAAAAATACCTATCAAAAACTGGGGTTCCCAAGGCTGAAAATATACTATTCCTTCAAGGGTTAAGGTAAAAAGTAGGACAAAGGTTCTTGTTAATTCAGCATGTTACAAGCATTACGAGAGTTAATGGGATTATAACACATGAAAGTAGCTCCCAGATCTAGTGGTTGCAGGACTAAAGTAGTATGGGTAAATAACAACTAAGTTCCTTGGACCTAATATTCCCTTAAATGTTGACATTAATTATATTTTACATCTATGCCTTTTTTATTGAAAAACATGGAGATATTGCAATTGTGCTTAATAAAAGAAAAGAAATAAAGATAACTCTTCCATTTGTGTTACCTGTAGATAAGGAATTTCCTTGCTCTTTATATTTTTCTTTTCTTTTGGACTTAAACTATTGAGTCTCTGAGTATCCTATTTAACATTCAAGAACTGATTTCATATTCAGAAGTCATCACTGCCCTAATGAGTTCCTGACAAATTAATCATATGTTGTAACAAAACACTGCCTGACATTGGGGAATTCCTCTGTGAGCCACCTAAATTCTCAAATGTGGATTACAGAAGTCATGATATGATTACTGTAATTGTACAAACAACCATGGTAACAAAAGATACTAGGTGAGACACCAAGAAAATAAATTTATTATAGAATATATTCAGAATACTAACTAAAAGAAGCATTCTCTTTGCTTTCTCCTTTCCATTCTCATTCTCAGTAATTAAATAATATCATGTTATTTTCCTGACAAAATCACTCAGATTTAGACTAAGATATCTATTTCTAAAGAAATATCACTGCCTTGGGAAAGGAAGTGAGTCTGAATTCCTACCAGTGCCAGTAGATGAATATTTCTAAACACTTTGTACAGGGAAGGGGACTGTGTTTATCAGAACTCAAGTTCAGAAAACCCCAAACATCCTGACACTGCAGAATTTGTTAAATATGCACTATATAAAACCACAGTATCATAGAATGGTTTGGGTTGGAAGAGATCTTAAAGATCACCTGGTTCCAATCATCCTGCCATGGGCAGGGACACCTTCCACTAGATCAGGTTGCTCAACCATCCATCCAACCTGGCCCTGAGCACTGCCAGGGATGGGGCATCCACAGATCCTCTGGAGAACCTCTCCAGTGCCTCACCACCCTCACAGTAAAGAATTTCTTCTGTATGTCTTTTCTAAATTTCCCCTCTTTCCATTTGAATCCATTACTCCTAGTCCTATCACTACAGTCCTGATGGAAAAAATATATGTAGTCTTTTTAGTCCTCACATATACCGGCTTATAGATTAATCAGAATATATTCCAAGCAATCCAAGAGACATTGAATTTATATTACTGAGGATTTTTTATCTTACTGGTCATAAGAGGGCCTGTGAACTTCTATGGTGTACAAGCAGTATTGAGGTCCTGCCATGTTTATATAGCGAGGAACTGCTGCATCACTTGTGATATGTTCTGGGAAAGGTATTTAGTCCAAAAATTGAAAATTTGACTGGTCATGAAAAATAAAACTATCCAGTGAGAAATCTAAAGCTTCAATGTACTTTATGTAGATTGTGCACAGCTTGTATTTTCCATATGTATTGACTTTTAACCTTACCAGGCAGATATCTTGATTGGTTTATATAGTAATCTTTTGCTGATGTAGTTGATCTTTCAGAATCATTCCTCATCAGAATCTTGTTTTCCCCTCCTGGCTGGATACACCATGAAGCTTTTGGTTCTGGCACACTGAAAAATCAAAATTTTCACACCATGTGACTAACAACTCCAGAATACCACAAGCTGACCTTTGCCTGAAGAATACAGTGCCCTTCACTTATCCTCCTTTTCTCAGTGGAGTCTGTTTCCACAAAGTAACAGTCAAACCTAACACCTCATGAGACTCTGACCTGGGATTTGAAGAAAGAAATGTATCCAACACTATGGAATAAAAGCAAATATGGCCAAATGGCAGAACATAGTACCATTTAACTGATAAAGGAAGTGATGTTGGTATGTCAGATTTTAGTAAAATGGTTTCTTAAACACACAACAAACATCTGAACCATATAGTGACTGAAAACAAATTTGATTCTATTTGGATACTACTGGCACTGTAACAACATAACACCCTAAGCTGATCTGCTCATGCAATTCTTGGCATTCTTGCAGAATTTTGGTGACTTGAATTTTAACAGACTTGTCTTAATCTATAAATCTACTTCTGGACACTGTTTACTAAAAGAAATTGTGATTTTATAATTGTAGCACCTACCTAAAAAGAATTTCCTTGTTTTTCTTTTCTTTTAACAGTGCAATGCTAGGCTTCTTCGAACATGATGTTCCAAATTCAGGGTCATCCAAGTCATCCCAGCTATCCACAGCCTTTACCAAAGTCTGACCCCACCGTCTTCTGCAGTTTTTAGGACCTGGTACACCATTCAGAGGGCCATTAGCGGCTTGTTTCTATTTTAAATTAAAAAAAAAAATAAAATTAAAATAATAATAACAACAACACGAATAATAACAAATTAATAATAAAAATAACAATAAAAATAACAATGACAACAACAACAATAATAATAATAATATAAAGCACTTTAATTCAATTCTAAAATTGTGGTTTTTTTCTATCTAGTATAACCCTGACTACCACTTACAGACTTGGAAGGAATTTTTCCCAGTGTGTTGTATCTGTTTTGGTCATAATCTCATTATGACTTTAAGCACAAAACATAACAATAATGCCAGCAGGCATTTGGAGTATAGTTCTTTTGGACTGTCATCCTTCCACTGCTCAAGTGTACCTGTAGTAGTGAGGTTAACATTCTGTTTGCAAACCCAGTTCAGTGCTCAGCCACTATTTCTGGCATCTTGCTGAACACTCATGTTCTGAACAGTGGTAGATGCACAGTGGTGCAGAACACTGCTGTGCCCCCAAAAGTAAATACAGCAAATAAAAGAAACTGGTCAGGCCTTTTCTTTAACATTCTGTTCCAATGAAATTACGAAGTTTTAAAACTGTCCATCTGACTATCATTTGCTTTCCAGTATTCTCTGAATTCCTATTATTTTTAACATACTTTGTATTGCAGTTCAATGAGTACAAGTCGAAAGCAAAACAGAAGTTACAAACCAGAGTTTACTATTCATCTTCCTAAAAATCATATTTGCTAAATTCTTACAATGTTAGGAACTGGATGAACCTTTTTGGGTATTTTCTTGCATGAGGCAAGTGAAGGTCTCCCTTTCCACTTCTCTATTGTGTACTGACAGTATTGTTGTGAATTGTTTCTCAAAGGTCAATAAAGTGACAGGTGTTTCAACTCCATTACTGCATAAGCACATCACTGAGGGCTATTACAATGAACATTGTTGTTACAAGCAATCGATTCTTCTGACTTGCTTTAACATTTTAATAACAGTTATATCCTCAATTAGTCCCTAGTTATCTATCGGTATCTCCTCTAATAAAACATGACAATTTTCAAGGGATCACTTGGCTGAACATACTAAAAACTTTTAATAAAACCATCTCTGTAGTTATTGAAGACAACTTACAGGTGATGAGGTTTTATTAATAATCGGAAAAAGTGGTTGTGCCTGTGGCTGCTGCTGCTTTGGTACTTGCTGGTTAGCTGTATTCTGAGGCAACTGAATTTGCTGGAGAGGCTGGTGGTTAACCTTTGGCAAGGGCTGTGGCTGTGTTTTGTCAGGTAAATCAGGTGAAGATGGAGGTTCTGGCTTAGCTTCCAGTTTAGGTAAAGATGGCTTTGGCTCTGTTGGCTGAACTGGTTTAACAGGAGTCTGCTTCTCCAGATACTGCGGAGGAGGTCCTAAAATTTGGCCAACTTGAAAGTAAGGGTACTTCAAAGCCTGCAGAAGAAGATGTAACACACTAATTTTACTTCAAAAAGCTGACTTTGATAATCTCATCAAGGATCTAAGCAGGTTTCTGAAACATTTAAGCATGCTTTACAGAACAGATGCAAGATTGATGAATAATGAGATCATATGTAAAGTGTGTACTGAGAACCAGCAGTTCTGTATTTCAAACTCTTCCCATCACATAACCCAGTAAGACTGATCCACTTGTACGTATGACAGCAATCATATCCTTTTGTTCCCTTCTTTATTGCTAGGTGGAGTCTGTGTTTTGAGGCACATTATACATTTAACACCATTCTATATCTATGCAGTAACAAATATCTGTTTTAAAAGAGGTAGTCCCCACTACCTTTACCACATGCTTATTACATGTCTCCACTGCTGACTGTTTTGGCAACTCAGTGGATAGCCTGAGGTTTTTAATTAAAAACAAAACAAAACAAACAACAACAAAAATTCCAGAAGTGAGATGATTGCCATGTATGGGTTCTACAATTAGAGGATTTTAATGAGCAAGGTTTCTCCACCATTTTTCTTATCACTAGCTTTTATTTTTCTTTAAGATACATTCACTGGACTTGCTGTGCCTTTATGGTGTTTATTAAAATACATAGATAGATAAAATCTGTCTTAAGGCAGATGTTCATTTGATCCTTTCCTCTGACCTTTCCATGTCCTCTGCCAGATGCAGAGCATACACACACCTTAGCAACACACCTTCTCCTATATCAAAACAACCCACTCTGTTAATCCTTCTGGGTAGGATTCTACTCTTTGTTAGTTCTCAAATACATGTTTTGCTTCAGCTGCACTCAAGAATCATTGCCTTTGCACATACTGCCATGTATATGCATTAAACTCTTCCTTTTGACTGTGGATTACACAACTGCTGCAGCTGCTTCCTCGGTAACTCACCTGGGTAAAAGCTGATTATTTGCTTTTATAAAGCACCATACAGTATTTTGTGTAGAGGTACGTAGTACTGGACTGCAGATAGATCTCAATCACTGTACAATAGACAAACTGTACAATAGACATGCTTTATAATGTGGAGAGGAATGGCTACTCTATTTGGTACCATCTGCTTAACTGCTTCTGAACTACTTACACTACATCCACCTAGGGTAACTTGCCGTGCATCCTTTCTTTCCCAATTCTATTCTTCTTTTATACATTCTAAATAGGATTACATTAGGTATGGGAAAAAAAAATCCACAGAATGTAACCATCTTTGGTCCTTGAAATATGTTTTTTGAAAACAATTGGAGAAAAATTGTGATCTTTGTGACCTACTGGCATGTTTTTCCGAAGTTCTTTCTTTATCACTTAATACAATTTACAGTTCAAGTAAAAATAATCCTTAGCTCTTCCATACTGCATTCCATCTCCGGCTTCACAGAAAGCAAAGTTTTCAGTACCTCCCTTTATGCAGATGGGGAGGAAAACAAAAGTGGCAGAAAGTGACTGATAGACACAACTGAAACACTTGCACCTCAGCTATTTCTCTGTCCTATACAGAGAGAATTTTAAGATATGCCAATACAGAAGACAACATTGCAGAAATAACTGAAGAATTTCTGATGTCTCCTGAGCCAGGTATAGAACTTTCTCTTCTCACCCGTTAGTCTCATTCCCACCAAAGTGTTCAAAATGAGGAGATATTTGTGGCCATCACTATTATGACAATCAACTGGTCTTTGTATCTGCAATTATTTAACCATGCAAGAAAATTCAGTCTTATACTTAATCATTCATGTGCTCAGACCTGACTTGCTGTAGGTCTCTTCTTTGGATTCCAGTTCAGCATATCACTCATAAGCTGTATTGCTTCATTGCTTGCATTTGGGATGAGAGTTTTTAGGCTTATAGGAACACATTGTGGGAAACGGAAATTCATGGCAGAAGCAAGGTGGTATCCTTCTGTCCAGTCACTCTGTTTCAAAGGAAAGAAAAATCAGCACCAAAAAAAACCACAAAGATGTATTTAGATAAAATTTAAGGCAGCTTGAGTCATGCTTGGTCTGCATGGCTCCCTCCTATGCAGTTGAAAAGAAGCATTCCTCTTTTATAATTAATAAATAATGATTATAATTAATAATTGTAATGACAATTATTACACTAGTAAATGCAGCATCGGTCTCCAATGGCAGTCCTCCTGAGGTCTCCTGTAGCTAAAGGTGGAACCATCACCATGAATAACACACTTGGACACATTCTACCCAAAGGAGAGTGCAGCAGTACCAGGAATGGTACTGGACATCTGCCACAGAAATGAGCCCAGCAGCTGACTTCAACATGCCCTCCTTACGGAAATAGCAGAGGTGAGGCCCTTCCATTCACCATGTCGCAGTTGTATAACCATGATGCAAGCCTATACAATATAGCACTGATCCCTCCATTATGACAGTCAATGATTAAGTTACAACTAGACAGTATTGCAACATCAAAACACCATGACCACCAGATAAGAACATTTTTTTTAAAGTGTTTAACTTTCCAAAAGTAAACCTTGAGGTCCTTCGTTGCTTGAAAACTGCATTCTTGGAAGATAGAACTATAGGATTATCAAACACCTCAAGAGATCATTTACTCCATGCCCTTGTCCCTTCCTCACAGGTGTTAAGTCTCAAAAAATTTCCAATTTCTGGCAATTCACAGCCAGTCTATACAGATTACTCCAGAGAGTAATCTCCTCAAGATTAGGAAAATGGAGGTTTCTTGTACAAAAATAAATTACCATTGTTAAGTGTCTTATCATCTATAGATATCAAGAAGGACAATCTGATTCTTCCCTCTAGAGTGGCCTTTTTATACAGTGGAAGCTGTATTTCTTTTTCTTTCTTCCAGTCTTTCTTTGTACAGGCTAAAGAAACTCGAACAATTCCTGGGGTCTAGGCTTTTTAAGTTTTATTTCCTCTCTAGACTCTGATTTTTCTCTCTTGAAAATGAAAACTCTAAACTGGATACAATATATCAAGTTAAACAAAGATTAGTTCACATGTTAATGAGCAATACTCCTTTCACTACACATTGGTATGGTATTTGTCTTTAGACATACAATACACTAAATAGTTCCTACAGCCTCTCCTACAGATTTGTTAGCTGGATGGTTACCCACAGCTATTTATGTAGCTCATCATTCCTGCCTAAGTACAGCATTCTGTGCACTACTGAAAAAATGTCTTTAAAGCTACATCTCTAATTCTATGCATTAAAAAAAAAAACACTTCTAAATTCTAATCTTGTTTTCTAACATAATTCTTCTCAGCCTTCCATCTACTAGCTTAAGTAGCAAAATCTACTCCACCTGACAGCCTTCAATACAATTTAAAAAATTTCATCAGATGCAGAACCACTCAAGTTCTAGTAAATTCATCTTTTGAATAAGAGCCAGCAAAGCTTAGTCTCTGTGTAAGTCTTTCCAAACAGGTATGCTCTTTATCATGGAGTTTGTATATAATTATGCTGCTGAGAATGTTATGAGGGACAGCATCAGAAATCTTACTGAAGACAAGCTATGACATTTGTGCTCTTCCTCTATCCACCAAGCTTATTACACTGCTACAGGGCAAACTGGACGGATTTGATACAATTTGGTCTTAAGGTACCATGATAGATATTACTCATCTTTTTATGTACAACAGTTTTAGCTCTGTTAGCATAGTCCATGGTAACAAAAAAACCTCAAATATAATTGTAAATTATATTTATATTATTAACATCTGGTTAAGAAAAGTTCAAGACTTCAAGGGACTTCCACCACAGAGAACTGTTTGTTAATTTAAATCAATGGAGAAAGACTTCCCCCTCCTTCACTGTACTTCCCTTCTTTATTAAGTTTGGTGGCATTCTGTCTAGAAATAGTGTTAAAGCAACAGTTACAACAAAGTACCAAGGGCTGCATGTTGAGCTGGTGAAGCATAGGGATAAGGTGAAAACAGTACAAGAGCAAAAATGAAAAGTACATTTATATAAAAAATTTTAAAAATTCAGTTACTTAAAATGCCATTGTCAGCCTTTAATGAAAATCCATTAAATGATCTCTCCTACTGAGATTGTCATCGATTTTTTCACCAAATACATGCATTACAAGTGCACCACCACTGCTAATACTTGAATGGTGCAATTTAATTTATTCATAAAATAAATAAAGCAACTTAATTTATAACGTAAAACAAAATGTTGCCCGCCACTATTTAAAACACCCAGATTCACAGAAGTCATTGGTATGGTGTTATGGACTTAAACACAGGAGGTAAACTGGAATGATGATAGTTTCTAGGCATAACTCCTGTAATTCATTATTGCAGGATAATGGAATAAATGAAAATTCATGTCTGAAAAATAATATTTGTATTAAAATAACTGCTTACATTTTTCAGAATGTAAGTACTTGAAACAAATGCATTATTTGTTGTGGTAATTCCTACCATAATATTTAAGTACTCCTTTTACACAGCAATGTCCCTGAAGAATGCCTTAGCATTGTCATAAGGAGAGAAAATTCCCAAGTCTGCCCAGCAGATGACAGGGACACAAAGTAATTAATTAGTCTCCTGATCTCACAGGGCTGACTTACAATGTCATTAACTCTTAAGGTCTTTAGTGAAGGCTACAGTTTTCTCTGGAATACTGAGCTGGTAATGTTCCCTGCTTTCCCAAGCAATAAGCTTCCTAGTCAGGGAATGACAGACTAAACAGTCACAATTTGCTTCTGTTAGCTCCTTCTAAGGTTAGAGAAAAAAACACAGCAGTCAGCTCAGTGCTGCTCTGCGACTGCACATAGTGAAAACCTCTCTCTGATCTCCCTGCACTTCAGAGCTTGTTTATGCTGTACATTAAAAATATTCTAGAAGCCAGCATTGTGCTGTCTTTCAGTCTTCATATGTACCAAAATGTTCCTCTTACTATCCTAGATTTGTGAGCTACTTAGAAAGTTCACATCTGCATTTGAAAACTCAAGTCTTAAAATACTGCTCCTATTTCACATTATTCCTGAGGCACAACTGTGTCACAGCAAGCACTGCTTTACACATCACACCAATTTTCACTAAATCCTCCTGACTCAATTTTCACTTCCAGAATATATAATCTATAATTCTACACCTGACCTTTTCCCCTTTGCTCTGTCATGACTTTGCACCTGTTTCTCAGTTTGTTCTCTTGGATGTTTTCCCACCACTTCAAGCTCTGTGTGTTCCTAGCTAAGCTTAATCTATTTCTGTTCTAAGTTTTCTGTTCCTTACTTCTCTATTGATAACAGTTCCTTTACTGGACAAGAACTGTACTATTTTATATAAGTAGAACACTAATGAAACTGATGTTTCTCTCTCCACCCTTAGGTTTTTCAGATCATTCTCAGATGTGTTTGGTCAGTTATCCCACTACGTTCTATTTGCACCCATAAAATACTGATACACATCTGCCATTTCTTACTTTAGTCTACAAAAATATTTAATAGCATATGGTCTCTTTTTTTAGTTCATTCAAAATTTGGAAGGTAACCTTATTCTTTTCTTGCATGTTCTTCCACCCATTTACAAAAACAACTTTTAAACTGAATACAATTGCATCCATTTTTATATGCACTACCCAAATCTTCCTTGTAATTTTGAATAGCATTTAGCTCATTCAGAAAATAAGTGGAAAAAATTGCTTCCCCTCTAAAATACTGCATGTTTTTCCTCCATTACTTCTTATTGCTAATAATATTTATGAGACATCTGTGTTTGAGATTAAATGTTTCCTTTATGCTTTAAAAATAAGAAAAGCATAATTTGTCTTATTTATGGTAACTTTTACAAGCTCTAAATTCTGTGTGCCAGCACAGAAGAATTACACTTTCAAGAAGGGAAAGCAAATTGGCTCTGGTAAATTAAATCGTAGGAGACTTCTGATTTGCTTTCCATTATGAATAACTTTAAATAACTAAATGAAATAATTTTGTCTGGCTTTCATCAGAGGAGAACAAGGCTTCACATAATGGTATGATACACAACAGATGTTAATATATAACAAAAGACTAGCATTATATGCCTTAATGGAAGCTAAAAAGAAATACAGTTGAACAAACAGTAAGTCTGCAGGCAACTTATTGAAACAATAATCCAATAGGTATGTTCTGAAAGGTAACACTGAATATGTTGTAATATTTTTTTTTTTTTTAAATACAATTGTGTGAGGCTTTTTAAGCCTTACCTTCTTTGGAGTCCCTAGGACTTGGCAAATTTTGAAGATTTCATCTACTTCACTTGTGCCTGGGAAAAGCGGTCTGAGTGTGTATAACTCAGCCATTATGCTGCCAACTGCCCATATGTCAATAGGTGAGCTATAGACAGAAGATCTCAGCAAAACTTCAGGAGCACGGTACCTGTGAGGATGGAAGGAAATAATAAATAAGTTAAAATGGTCATAGGAAGGTAAGTAGTTAAGCTGATGTATTAAATTCTTGATATACTTACCACCTGGTAGAAACATAATCTGTGTAAGGTGGCTGAGATCTTAATTCTCTAGCCAACCCAAAATCTGCAATTTTCACAAGTTCTGGTCCACTACAGAGAAGGTTTTCAGGCTTCATATCCCTATGAAAAAACCCTGTAGAAGACCAAACAGAAAAGATTCGCAAATTATCACAGAATCACTTCTTAAGCAGCGACCTCTAATAGGAGTAATCCAATATTTACTTTGGGATGTTTTAGAATAGTATAGTAGCTTTCAGTCTTTTAAATTTATTTATTTATTTTTAAATTCAACATGAAATAATTGGAACCCTCCCCCAACAAATGCACTCATCTTCCTTCCAGTGATTATTACACCAAGTGCTCTTAAATTAACAAATGTAATGTCATTATCACACTAAGGAAAATTAATTGGCTGGCAGCAACACCAAGTGAAAAACCAATTTCAGAATGAAATCTTTTGCAAACACTACAACTGCTTTGTCAGTTTTGGTAATGGAAAATTGAGCATCTGACACACTTAACTTGATTCATAAAATGGCTTGCATTTTTTCTAGCTAGTTATTTATCACTGTGACAACAATTTGGAGATACAGACATATAAAGGATATCCAAATCCTGTTCAGAAATGCTAGTATTAGTAATGCAGGCACATAAAGTTTCCTCTATGCTTGCGGTTGTCTTGAGGACCTCTAGACCTGGGCAGTGGTTAAGTCACTAAGTAAATTAATTCTGCTGTTTAATTGGAACACACAATTTGTTATGTTATACATTAGTTCAATTGAAATGCACTTGCTGGAATAAAGCACTGAATTTCTGCACGCATCAATTGAAAATGACTGTAAGAAATTGGCTGAAATTGTTGTAGTGAAATGTAAATGTTCAAATTTATCATACCTCATATTCCCTAATACACTTATGGTCAAATCAAGATATTAATATTTTTCTTAAAGGAAGCTTTTCTTAAAATCTAATTTTCTCATTTAATTCACAGAGAAATGAGGTAGGAAAGGAGGATGCTAGCAATCAGAGAACAGTATATTATCCTGATCAGAAGGACAAGAAAATGTCAATTTCTGGGTATTTGATAACACTGAACAGAACTAATTATTAATTTAATTCACCAACAGGCCTCTTCAGAATACACTGAAAGCAAATAAAACCTTGCTAGGAACACTGCTTCTTATTTTATTTTCAGTTAATGTTTTACTGTCTTTGGAAAGTTTTAAGGATCTCAATGGGATGTAAAGAACTACAAAATAAAAAGTTGAGCATGAAGGTAAAAGGAAGTTTGATACAGTGTGAAACTTTTTACTGTTGTGAGCACACCTCACCTCTTATTTAGACTGTGCCTGTAATTCCTAGAAACATCTCACTTGCAAATATATTTGAATCCAGGTTGTATTTGATAAGGATACTGCTCGAATTTCTGAGTGAACAAGTTATTTTCATATTTTTTATACCTAGAGTATCATATTAGTTATAGTATCTCAACACAAGAGTACTGATGTATCAATGCTTCTCAATTAGTTCTTTTTGAGGAAGCAGAACTGTTTAGTACAGCACACTATACAAGTTTCTTTAGTTTGTTTATTCACCTGCTAACTAAAGTAGAAAAAACTACTGCTCAGTGTATGAACAACATCCAGTGCTTTCCAAGAGAAAGAGGAAAAACCAGTTATAGGAAAACAAAGAGTAACTGCAGGCAAAGTTTAAAACTGCACCACACTTGAAATAGGTAACCATGATTTTATCAGAGATGATTAACAGCCCTTGCTAAGTTATTTTATTCATGTTATTTCTGTGCATTATCTTATTTTCTAAAATTGTGCTACACAAACTCCAGGAGACCTACCATGTTTGTGGATGAAAGCCAGCCCTTGCAATATCTGATACATCATGTTTCTGATGACTGATTCAGGGAAAAACTTGTTTCTGTGAAGGAATAAGATAAAAAAAACTTAAATAATTGAGAAAAATAATGTATCTTCTCAACACACGTTTCTTTATATTGCCTAACACATCATGAACACGTGAAAACAGACCCATCAAGTCAAAGTAAGAGAGATGCAACTCTCATTTCAAAACTCTACTGGGCCTTAATCTCAACCACTTTAAGGGTAGCAGCAGAACTTCTGTGCTGAGAGGTTCACGGTGCTGTCTCTCTGTAGAAGCTGGCTGGTCAGCTTGACCAGGTGAACGTGGAATGCAGTGTTGTAGCAAGGCAGAGATGGCACAGTGCAGGACTGGTAGGTGCATTACTCAGCAGTGCCCTTCAGGGAACCCTGGTAAGAGCAATTCTGCTTAGCTGCAGAGTAACACTGTGCTAATGTCACCAGCAGCTACCTCAGGATGTCAACCCAAGAGCTTGGCACATTAGGAGATACAAGTGAGTGACAAAGTTTGAAGGAAACCCACACTGAAGGCCAAACAATTCATCACAGGAAAATGTTATTGAAAAGGCACGTCCCATTCTGCAGTCCACTTTTCCAGCCTTTCTATGTACTGTTTATCCAAGATTGCAACATCAGAGTTAGCCTATATACAGGCCATTCTTGCAAGGGTGTATGCATGTACCATCCCCACCTTAAGTCAAACCCATGAGCAAAAGTAGCACAAATATTCACCCAATTCTTCTTACATTAAAATGAAGGCTGTTGAAGAAAAAAAACCACCAAAACACAACAATTTGGGATTTCTCTCATGGCTCTACACGAAGGCATGCAAACTCTCCTGTTAACAAGCAATCAAACTTATTTTCAGAGGCATTACAATATGCAGAGCAATGCCAAATTCCACCCTCAGATAAGAAGGTACAGTGACTCCTGTTCACATTAATAAGGCAGCAAGAAGATCCAAAATCAGAAATCCCAAAATGTTCTTCATGGTAGTATGAGAATCATTAAATAAAGCATGATAGCACACTACTTTTCTGCGAAGAAAGACATACCTATCCTTCATTAGCTGATAGAGATTTTCCTTCATGTATTCAAATACAAAGTACAGGTGGTCATTTTCTCGTATGACTTCCTTCAATTTTATTACATTGGCATGGTTTAGTTTCTTCAGAGACTGCAACAGAGCAAAATATGGCTTCAGATAACCCCACAGTGACCCTGATTCCTTACCAGAACTAAATTTTAGCTTATAAGTTTCTAGCATAGAATTCACACAACATATTCATATGATACCCCATTATCTATCATGTAAGCTGTTTTAAAGAACAACACAGAAGTCTGAATAAATTTCAAATTAAAAGCAACTATATAAATAGTAGTTTAAACCTATTTCTAGGGATTACCTCAGAGCTGGAGTAAAGATTAGCACAAAAACCTAATTCCCTACAACAAAAGACAAATCTGAAGCTGTAAGAGCTCTTGCTTGCTGAACTGAATAAGAAAACACATTGGGTTTTTGTTTTTTTCTTTCCTTTCTCTTTGCATGAAACTCTCATGAAGAAAGATTCTCTTACAGATATTTGTTTTGGACATACTGATTGGAGGGCAATCTCCAATAAGTTAAATCTAAGGCCTTTTAATTGGGAGCTTTGTATATACAGAAAATCAGATGCCCAAAACACGGAATTATTTGGAATTTAAGCCGAGGTTTTCAAGTGTTATTCTATCGCTAGCCAAAACTCCCAGTGCTTTCTACAGATGCCCCAAACACAAGATATATGGAATGGTTACAGAGAAAATCTGAAAGTAAAATTAAACTGGAGGATGGTAAACCACAGAAATACACACATACAAAATGAATTTATTTTCTTTTCTCAATGGCAAGAGGCTTGGCCATGAGACATGGCCACTGCTCGAGAATAATGGGATATTCCACAAATCAGCAGGACCTTTAAGAGTGCCAGCAGCCCATGGTTTTGTGACATCTGTCAGCATTTACATGTTCACAGAGTTTGGCCTTATGCTTGGACATGGTAGTAGCCCTTTTCCTTCATGCAAGCCTAACCAGACACTTATTTTTAAATGCGGTATGTTCACCACTTTACCTTGACTTCTCTCAAATTCATACATTCATCCCATGAATAAAACTTTCTCTTCATTCTGAAATAAAGTTCGAGATAAAGTATTTTCAGTGAACAGTACAGAATGCCTTTAAAGTTAGAAAATGTAATTTAGGTTTTCTAACTTCATCTATATTTTGAACTCAATTTAAAACATTCTAGCATACCCATCAGCAACATAGTTAAAATCAAAGTCAACACTTAGAATTACTAAAAATTTACAGTCATTAATCATCAAACACTGAAACATTTTTAAAAGAGTACAGCTACAGACCATGTTACTCCAAAGTAAAAGGGACATAAACCCGCTTTGTATCATTTGACTTGTGCTTTTAGCAATAAAGTAAGCAACTATGACACTGCACATATAACATAGAAAATCACGTCTTTATAAATAGGTTGGAAACCTATTCTCGGAAATTCTAGGAAAACAAAAAGAATTAACTTTTTGAAATCTGCAAAATATCTGTTATAATTAAGCATCTGACTTGATGAGTCATTTTAAAAATCTGTTCCAAGATATTAATTTCAAAAAGAAAGGTTACTTTTTTTTTCAAGCAACATCATAGCTTCTAAACTAATTGTTACATCTAACAGTGTAATACATTTATTTGTAAGTCCTGCATACATCCAAATGTGGACGTTTGGTGGTGCTCAGATCTTGGGATGAAAATGTGAATGTCATTGCTGTGTTTCGGTAAAATTTTAGCACTTAAAGTAAAGAGATTTAAACCCAAGATTTTAATTTAGAATAAAAGTATCTTCAAGCAAAACTGTGCCCTCTCAAGTCCCAAACTTAAAAATCATGCAACGGAATTCCAAATCCTGAAATCACAAGAATGAACCACTTTGCACAAAATGTTGTTCCTTTTGCTAAAAATAATTAAAATAATCAATTGGAGATTCTTTCTTTAGCTTAGATTATTATTAACTTCAGTAACAGTACCAGCAAGATACGGTGGAACCTGAAATACTCAGAAATTCTTAAAGAAAAAGTCAATCAATAATATTACAATTATCTTACTGCAGTAAATCCATAAATGAGAGAACAAAGTCTGAGCAAGATACAATTTCTGGTATTTCAACTTACACTTTATATCTTACTTGCAACTCTCTAGGAATACAAGGGGAACTTCCCCACACCTTGAGCAGAAGTTTTCTTGTTTCATAATCATCTTTTAAGGCAAGTATGACAACGCTCTTGACTACACAGAACACAAGTTTATTAGAGCCAAAGAGACAACCTTTATTTACCTGATTAGATTGTTACTGTTATTTATCACTGTAGCAACACGTGAAAACTTAATGCAGTACTTACAAAGATTTGGGGAGCTGGGATGGAATTTCAAATCTACCTGTTAAGATTGCTATTCCTGCAATTCATACAAATAACCTCCCTAATTAATTGCATTCACTTTTGTTTCTCCTTTGGAGCTGGCATAGTGACATTCTCAGAAGGAAGAATGTTCAAAATGAACAAAAGCAGCATGCAATTTTACAAGCCAATGTAAATCAGTAAATTAAACTTATGTGTCTCTCTATTGATCAGTTACCAGAAATCTGACTCACAATCACCTCGTTAAACATCTTAATTAAGGCAAATAATTTTGTTATGCTAATTTCCTTTTAAACAGGGACTTTTTTCTATTCTACACAAATGGAAGACAACAATAAAGTCAAAAGTGAAAAATCTAAGACTTTGGAAGCACCTTTACTGAACTGAGATGCTACATACCTTTTGATAGCCACAAGTTCTCCCGACTCATTGCTCTTCCCCATCAACACGCTGCCATAGGTGCCATCACCCAGTTGTTTCATAATTGTGTAACGATTCATTTTTTTTCTACTCAGACAGCCAAAAGCTTATAAAATGCTAAATGTCTTCTGTTTTATTAAAGGGTTCTGTGTTCTTTGATTGTCTTAAGAGAAATCTCCTTCCAGACTGTTCTATGTTGGTGAATGTTTCTCATAACTGAGCAGGATATTCACTGCTCTCTTCCAAACTATAGCTACTTTGAGATCCAGTTACGAAGAAAGGGAGACAGAAGAACATGGTCATTCTCACACAGATCCTTAAAACAAACAAAAAAAACAAGAAAAAGACTAAGTAGTTTTACAGTACTTTAAGAAAGAGACACTACTATTTGTATCAAACAATAACACCCTCCAGAGCCATATGTGCTCACTAAATAGACTTAGATGTAGTTAGTACCCTTAAATTTTTCAAACCACAGAAGGTGCTTACTGTACAATTAGGGTTAGAGAAAAGAGAAACTGGAGAGTCAAGGCTACTGTCATAATATTTTAGAATCAGCAAAGTGGTTTTAAAGCTTGTGTATTATAAGGGAAGCCCTTACTCTGAATCTGCAGACAGCAGCAGCTTCCTAAACTATAACAGAGGCACAGCTGAAGTTTTGGAAAACATAAGGATGCAAATTTTGCAGAGTGCTGTGGCAAACTTAGGGTCTGAACATTGTGTTTTGGATTGGTAATACAAGCAGGCTTTCTATGCTTAATAGTTATTGAGGAAGGGAAGTGGAGGAACAAGATAATCAGTGCATTCTTACCCACATGAACTGTTTGTTATTAATGTATATGGACATCTTGCTCTCAAGTTCACATAATTCTTAGGCACGGTAACGGCTGAAGAGTTAAGTTTATTATTTCATTTTACAAGGCTTATAGAGAGAAGCATAGAGCTTACATGCACTGGTATGGAAGATTAAATCTGAATTTTCAATTGGAAAAGAATGCATATTGAATAATGTTGAATTGCCAAATTTTAATCCATGCAAATATTAATTTGAATCCCAACCCAAGTTTAAATCTGAACCCCAGCTTCCATTACACACAATACTATCAATCACCAAGGCTTTTGGTGATTGCCTGATGGCAAGTACTTATACAAACTCACAAAAGTCACCCACTTATTTATGCAGGACTAGGAAAAGCTAACAACCTCTCTATACCATTTACTTGTTTTTACTTTTACTATATATATACTTTTAATTTTTATATATATATATATATATATATATATATACACCAGTTTTTACATTTACTATATCCCAAATGCTAATACACAAACAAACACTGAACATTAACTGAATAATAGCATTCTCTACCTTTTGTCTCTGCTGTCTGAAAATACAAAATAAAACTCAAATCAATGGGAACACACCATCAGTCTACCTTTATAGGAGATGGAGAACTCAGCATGCAACTCTCTAGTCCTTATCCTTATGCCAGAATTAGCTACAGTCTGGTCTGTTCAAACAGATTAAGAAACTCTGATTTAGCTGATAACAAGACTCAGGCTTGAGATTTACAGGCCTGGCAAAATAACAATAAAATTGGCTTTTCAAGGAGTGTGAAATACACATTCTCAAGCAGACTTGCCTGCTGTGTAAAGGAAACAGCTGCCTGGACATTAGACCAATTAATGCTTAATGTTCTTAAGAACACTTGGTATCTAGACCAATCAATGTTCTTAGCTGAAATGCTGCTTTCTGAAAGTAGTCATAACACAGAGTGTTACTACTCCCTGTTGCTTCTGTTTCCAGGAAAGAATCTCACATCACCTGTCAAGATGCCAGTAGCAAGTGGCCTAGTGGACGTCTCAATTTATAATCTGTGCACCAGGCAACCTTCATTCTGACAGGGAAAGTTATAAAAAAGTTTTTTTCCACATCCATCTACACTTCCCCTCCCCTAAAACCACAGCTATAGTGAAATAAGATTTCTAGTTCATAGCACATTCTGGAACAAAGCTAAAAAACAGATTTAACAAAAAGTAACATAGACACCTCAAGTTATGACTAGATTTTAGATTAGATTTTCATATATTTAAGCAAATTGTTTTTCTCAGAGCTCAGCTTTATCATATTCCCCAAAATGCCTGCATGCACTCTAGTCTTTAATACCATCAATAATACCTTTTTACAACAAGGCTATTTGCTGACTCTGGTAATAAGCAGATGATCAAGTGTGTTTATTCCAAGTTAAGATACATTCTGCATACACATCTTGCAAGTTGTCAATGGTTAGCTCTATGTATAAATTAAAAAAAACAAACCAACACAAAAACCTTGAGGATATTCTTGCACCCATTTTAAAATACAGCAACACATCTAAAGCGTCAGCATGTGTATGCATTTTGTGTATAGATTTACAAAGGCATACCACGTGAAGCAAAATGTAACAAGTTTTGTGTGCTTGTGTTTCTCTGTTTCAACAAATATCATCCTGCATTGTTTAAGGCATTTTTTTTTTGAGGGATTCAGCAATATCTGCCACAGATGGCCCTAGCTTGAACTCCTAGAGTTACATTAAAAAGTTGGAGAATTTGCATGAATTTCATGCTTAGCCTTTTGCTCTCTAATTAAGTGGATCAAAAACAACATGAGGAAAACTTGTATTTGCAATAAACAGAAAAAGATCTAGGCACAAACCTTAAGTTTTGACCTTTAAATCCTCTAATTTTGGTCCCTAAATCCTATCAGCTTTCCAAGCAATTCTCATTGGAGTATATATTAATCATATGCTTTTACAATTATTCCTTTTGTCCAATTCTAATATTTTGGTACGTGCAATCAAAACAACCTCACGTAAAATTTCCCTCCAGAAATTCTGTGTAATACAGGACATCACAGATCCAATTATGCATTTTGTGTGTTCTGTAATATATTTTATTGCCTTACTCCTTTTTTGCTGTGTACTTTAATTTTTAGGGTACAAAAACACCTGATCACGTAAAGTACAGTAAAGTCAACGCAATCCTTCAATGATCAAGTGGAAGTGTCAAATCCACTCCATGGAAATGCACAGAACAAGGTGTGAAAACCATGTACCCCAATAACAATGTCTGTGTACCTTCACACCTACCCCTCACTGACATGTATTGGAATTACAGAGCACGATAATTAGAATATAAATGCTCCAGAAATTCACATTTCACTACAAAAGACTTCTGCATACTTTGTTCTTTACACCACCCATACCCAGCTCAGGTGTGCAATTTTTTCCTCAGTTGTCTAACTGTATTTTCTTTTTCAAATCTGCAATTCAGTTTTGTCCTTTGTACCAGCCTGAGGAAAAGCAAGGGCCCAATCTCACTTTTCTGGTTAAAATATGCCTTTGAAGTGGCCTTTTCCATAATAATGCTTATATGATATTATTTCCTCAGTGATGCAAAGCTCTAAAATGTAAAATTGTCATAACAGCTACCAAACAGATGAGAGAAATGCTGGTCTAAACAACAGCTTGCTCGATACTCTTAATGACATACTGCACATAATCTCTTTACACAGTATTAAGGAAAGATTAAAGCCAGGGACAAATAGAGGACAAAACACAATAGCTTGACAGAATCTATAATTTGTGTAAATTTAGTGAATCCGAACAAGTACTAGAGAATTGAAACAAAACATCGCCTTTACTGTATTACTGGTGTTTTAAGCACTAGCAGCAATTTTATATTATTTTAGATGTCTGAATTACATTTCAAAATGTAATGAATAGCAGCAAATCACCTACATTTCTTGTACACATATACTAGGCTTTACCAAGAGTTCTGCATTTGCATCCTAAGCAAACTACTCTCAAATAACTACAAACTAGGATATATGACCCAATAAGGCCTCCCACACAGAGAAGCAAAACACTCACAACCAAATTTTACCAACCTGTTTACAATAACTGATGAAATCACCAGAACTGTTTGCGTGGCACAGTACTGTTCTCAGTGATCAGAACTGGCAGTATTGCACAGCACAGAATGTATGCTGATAGAGATTCTAAAATTTTTAAAAAACCAAAACCAAATCCAACACCAAATCCAACCACAAAACAACAGATTTTGCTATAAAGAACCTTCTTGGTAGTGACTGTGTATTACTAAAGCTGCCAGTAATCATGTCCCATGACAGGTGGATCCAGTTCTTGAGATTAACCTCAAATCCATTACTCTAATCAAAGACCAGCAGTCATTTAAAAGCATGACACTCAGCTGCAAGAAAGAAGTCAATAACATTGACAATAAATACTGATGCTTTGAAATAGACTGCCTTAAATTATTTTTTTAAGTCCCTTTAAAATCTTATATATTTTTCCACTTGTGTGTATCAGGCATTCAAAATGGGGCATTATCAAATCAATAGCTACAATTTGCTCTAAGTATTTTTCCCTGTTTTGTTCCAAACCAGCTTTGGTTTCAAACCAAAATTATTCACACCAATTTTTTCAGCAGATTACCACCATGCCAGCAAGGCTACCTCTTTCTACCCCCAGGAAACCCCTTCCCACATTGCAGTACAGCAAGTTTCAGGATAACAATGGTTTCAGTGCTGCTGGAACTTAAGGTCTCCAGTTTTGGACAGCATCCAGAAGGAAAGCAAAACCCTCATCTTTCAGCATCTGCACCACTGTAAGTTTCAATACAACACAGAATCGTTATGGTTGGAAGGGACCTCTGGAGATCATCTAATCCAAACCTCCTGTCAAGGCAGGGTCACCTAGAGCATGTGACACAGGAACATACCCAGGTGGGTTTGGAATATCTCCAGAGAGGGAGACCTCCCTGGTCAGCCTGTTCCTGTGCTCTGCCGTCCTCAGTGTAAAGAAATTCTTCCTCACGTTGAAGTGAAACTTCTCATGTTTTAGTTTATGGCCATCGCTCCTCATCCCGCCACTGGGTACCACTGTAAAGAGTCTGGCATCATCCTCCTGGCACCCGTCTCTGAGATAACTATACGCACTAATGAGATCCCCTCTCAGCCTAGAGACTGGAAACAAATGCTTGTTTCCATTTCAGTTCCAGCTGGTGCCATTCAGTCGCCTCCCAAGTGTGCGCAGGTACCTTCCTTAACACTCACAGCGCCAAGGGGAGCACGGCGCTCCTGCCGCTCACTCAGCCTGTGAAACTCGGCACCGCCCGGCCTGCGAGTTTCACCCCGGTTCTTC